TTTTTTTACCATTACAAAATCGACAACTCAAGTAATATAGATATCATGCGAGTTAACAAAATTTTCAAAGTATTTACCAAACTACATTGACAACGTAATTAAAACATCTGATACAATAAACAGATTCTTAAAAGTGACGATGTATTACTTATTATCTAAAACAACAACTAGAATCAATACTTTCAATTAACAGAAAAACAATTCTGTCGCGAATCGACGACTTACCTTAAAAAGCATGTTAAGGAGAATACTGTCTTTGCCTTCCTTTTCTTTTAGAAGTATGAGATCACTGTGCAGAGGTGAATCAGGATCAACACACATCAGCCTGACATTCCATTCATACAAACTGTCATTTACTAATTCTATGCTGTACATTCCTGCAACAAATGTAAGTAAATACTTGAATACAGTGATAAATCTGATTTTTTTGGTGGCACAATTGTTAAGATATATGTACAAGTGTGGAATGAAAACTACATTACTACCTTTTTTGAAACTGTCACTTCGATAAATGTCGCGCAATTCTTTCATAAGCCTGTCTGTGGCTTGCACACTGCCACAGACAGATCCTTTTAAGTAATCTTGTCTTTGATTTTGCCTCAACCTTTCTAACGTTGCAAGATGTTCCAATTCTATTTCTTCGCCCTTGAAAGTTCAATTGGTATCAGTGTAGATAAATGCAAGTGTAATCTATTTAGTGAATTAATCCTTTTATTTACAACTACTCTATTTACCTTACTCTTTGCATTGGCATCTCCCTCATCCATATCTAAATGAAGGTCTTCCTCTGCATCGCTCTCTTCGTCATCATCAATATCTTCCACATCTTCAGCTTCCATCCTTTGTGCCGCAGCTTCATTTGATCCTCCTAAACGTAACGGATCCAAGGCTGTCCTTAACCGTTCAACGTCAGGCGGTTCGGGTAATGAGTGAAGTCTACATAATTCTTTCAAGAGAATCCCAACTTGATTAATGACGTGGTTGTCACGGCCTGTGGTAGTACTTAAAATTTGTACCGCGTTTGTAACACTTGTTTCCTCAGACTCTGCAAACCAGACTGGTGGCGTAGAGGGATAGGTTTCCTGCGACATTCATTAAAATTTATGTAATCACAACATACAGAGTGAAATGAGACTTCATCTTTTTTTAAAACGTTGTAACAATCACTTTATGCAATGATATCGAACAACAGCAATGAATATTTATGTGACATATTCCCAATGGATTGCAATCTGCCGGTTTATTCAAAAAATATTGATTCCCAGCGATGGAATTTATTTACATATAACTCTTGATGACGTATTATGAGACCCGATGACACGCATTGTTTAATTGCTCTGATAAATTGAAAACTTAATGTTTCAAGAATTACTGACTCGCTGAAGCAAATACCGCTTACCCAGTATAAAGTAAAAAGCATTCAGAGAAGTAGCCTCGCAATGAAAATTTTTTTAAATTGTACAGCAGCTTTGCAAAACGAATTGTACATTAAAAAGACAACTGTACGTCAAGATATTCAAATATGGATTTATCGGCGACCGCAGCTAGGCTCGGCGTCGGTGCCACGTCTGTTACATATGCGTAACAGAAATTGTAAATTAATTAGCAACCATATTTTCGAACCGTATTTTCTTCACAATACGCAAATGAGCGAGAAACATCGATCTCCTGACAAACGAACAAACAAAGGGGGGAGGGGGAGGAGAGGGGCGCTTTTCATATTGGCGTCTATTCGAATTTTTAATTTCGACTTTTGTTTTGGAGTTCTCATCCCTCTGGACTCTCTCTCCCCAGCTCCTCGCTATCCACTCACCGTGCGCGAAACGAGAAAAATAAATTTGAACACCAGGTGAAAATGTTAAACTATCGCGACAATTTTATTCGCCCTTCGACTCTCGACGAAAAGGAGACTATCGTGAATCTCGATTCGCATTTGCATCTCCAATAAAAGGAAACATGCAGGGCGCGAATCTTTTCCTTTTTTCTCTATCTCTCTCTTTCTCTTTAACACACGTGATTACACACGTCCATTGTTTACACACACACAGCCCGATAATAAACTTTTCAGCGTGAATCCGCCGATTTCAAATCATTCATCGGGTCAATCAATGAATCCTGATTCGGTAACAAAGTGCAAAGACGAACAAACACACAATTATTTATTTTTGGCGTTCGCATGTATTAACAATGTTTATGCAGTTTTTCGGGCTATCGGACTGAGGGGTAATCTGGCAATAAAGAAGCGAACATGACGATGGTAAATAGTGAAAGAAGCGCGAGTGGATATGCTCGTTGTTATCTAATTTATCTATAAATATTATCTAGTGTACACGAAATTAGTAAGTAGTTTGGTAACCGTGATATAACTGTCGGAACGATGCCGATTTTAAAAAAGGCGTAATATTTCTCTTTCTTCTTCTTTTTTTTTTTTCTTCTTGGTTGCAAACACACACACACGCGAATGTACAGACGAGGAGAACAGATATCATTACCGAGGGGCTTACCCTCTATTTGTGACATACATTGACCTCTAGCACAATATTAATTCGTCTGAAAATCTCCACGGAAACTGGCTGATTGAGGCGAGAAAGAATCGATCGTAACTACAACAAAACGCACGGGGCAACGAAAAAACTACACGAGAGGCAAATGCGTGTACCGAGTATCACGGTACACGATACAGTGTTCTCGGGCATGGCTTTTGTCAAAAGCCCCCCCAAATAACAACACGAGTGTTATTGTTTCTTTGTCCCCGATCGGTAGCCAGACAGCAACGAAACCGCACACGGTGGCCGTGGTGGGAAATGAGGATGCCAACGATAATTCCGTATCCGGTCCCGACGTCATAAATCGTATCCATGCTTGGTACACTTACTGTAATATTGGCGTGTATTTCGTATTTCTTCCCATTTTTACCGACGAACCTGCAGCTGAGTTCGTCCACACTCGCAGACATTATCTGAAATCTCTCATGGCTCTTTGGGAAGACGGACTCAAGAGTTTTTATCTCCTGCTTGAGGGTGTTCAGACAAGCCATTTGGGGGAGCGAACGAACGTGCCGGGCCCCAAATTTTTCGGCGGCGCTTGTTTCAAAAAGTGTAGCAACCCGAAAGAAACACGACGTACCCGATGACTACCCGACAAAATGGCGACCGCGACTGACCACTTCGGCCAGCTTCGTGCAACTTCGTCGCCAATCGCCACAGATGCCAGCACTGGCGCGTTCAAACGCTTGTGACGTTCTTCCGGTACAGCTGAGTGCCGCTCAACGTGCTGCGACATTTGAAAAACAAAATGCGGACGATTTGCACTTGTGAATGTAAGTACAGTGAAATTCAATATATGAATATTTTCACTTGACCTTGCATAAAGATTCGACATTCGAAATAAAACTTACGATTTCAAGAAAAAAAGAAAAAGTTGAACGAAATGCGTGTCCTTTATACGTCTCTCTCTGTAATATGTAGTCATTTTATTTAAGTATAACATCAACTTCCAAAAATAATATTATATTATTTATACTTGAAATATTTCAACACTTATATCTTTTTGTTAAGTTTCACTTTTATTGATGAACTCATGTCACATCAATGAACATAGATGCTGATTTTAGTCAATGTCAATCTATTTAAATTAAGTATAAAATAATCAACACTTGTTAATTACATCATGAATTTATTTGAAATGTCTAGTATGTCTAGTTCTTATGATCTATATGTACAGATGATAGTGTGATAAAGTATAATACACGCATATTAACATGTTAACAAATAAATGCTCTAATCTAACATACTAAAAATAATTAACTTCCAATTTTTGGACTGGGCCCACAAATTTCTTTTTCTTTTTCTTCTTTTTTTTATTTTATATCTCTTGGAACAACATGAAGCGATTATTAAAATAATTCAAGAAATTCCTTCAATATTTTATTTGTCAGTTTATATTCGCATATCTTCCAGTGACATACAATTTTTTTGTAATTGTTCTTCTCAGCGTAATTATGTACATATACTTAGAAGATCGTGTACGTTAAACTAGGTTAAAAAAACGCACGTGCAAATTTTAAAGCCACGTAAACGTATCGGTTCAACTTGTATTTAATTTATTAAATAAAGTATTTACATCTTTGCATTCGTTTAAAATCAAGGCGACTTAAATACAGGATAATAATCGCAATTACATTCTTTTTTTTTCTCTCTTTCTGGCAATAAGTTTCTTTACGAAAGTACAAAAATTAAAATGTGGCACATTATAAAATAAACAATAAATATATTATTTTACATATTGTACACAACTTTTTCACTGAATACTTTTCGCTTATAAATTTCTTGGTTCACTTTCTGCCTTTTTATTGAAATTAGAAAAAAGTAGACTCCAGTCCGTGGTATGTAGTCTTTTTAATGGCAATAGAATCTTTGAAGTCATGATATGACTAAGTGTAATTTATAAATAACAAAATATAGCATTTCCACCGTAACAGGATGCCTAAGCCTTTTTTTTTCTTATATGGAAAATCCATAATGGTCAACATTAATTTATTACTAGAATTATTTTCATACATATACATATATATATATACACTTTTTTTTTGCATATACATGTTTAGCTTTTTTTCCGTTTCATGTAAATCATAGCGAATGTGAAAGTTAGTCAGTCAATAATACTAATTTAAGCCTCTTCTATTCAAAAATTAAGAAAACTGACAAGTGGTCACTGATACTCTCAACATATCCAAATTTGTTTTTCTTTCTAGTTATGTACTTTTTATTCAATCAAACGAATTGAAACATATTTGCAAATTATAAACATAAATGTAAATTATATTTCATACTTGAATTCCTAATTACTTGAATAAATCAATTTATTTTCGTATCTATATTATAATTAAAATGGAAGACCATTTTAACTGGTTTTTTTAAGTATAACGATTTGTCAGTTTTTTAAACTTTTCTTTTGAAATGCCTGTAGTCATATAAATAAATATTTGTTATACTAATATTTTACAGATGCTTCGTGAAATGTACTTCAATAAATAGTAAACATAAAATAATACAATAAAGAAAGACATTTTATGCTTTATATAATCTAAATTTATATTTTTTGTTACATAACTTTCTACATAATTAAGCGTTCATTTAATTGTGATTTCTTTTATTGAAAATTAAAGGAAATCAATTACACTTTCTGAGTGATTGTATTTGAAACAGTTATAAAGCCTTCGTAATACATATCTGTCGGTAAAATACATATCCTCATTGTCTGTTAATACGTATCATACTTTTAATGGTACTCTAAACTGCATTTCTTTTTATTGACTTAGATATTTACACACTGACAATAACCTGAACAGAATTATTTGCATCACTGTGTACGGTGTTTCTGACAAGTGAACTTTAGAAAATAGAGTTTTCCAAGATTCAAAACGTAGAATATTCTTTTACCTAATAAGTTTTGCTAAGCTTACGTCACAATTTATATTAAACCATTGTTGTGAATTAGTAACAGTTTTAAATTATTTTTCAGTAATTATCAAGATACATATTAGTAATAGCTAGGAACTTGAAGAAGCATTATTTCCATCTCTTTAAATATACAAATGCCAAATTTTTTTGATATCCGTTTAACGTGCGACGTAAGTAAATTCGAACAACATATTTATCGCACATCGCATTTGTTAATGAGTTATCACTTGGCGGCATTTTCTTTCTCCGAATCACATTAAGATTAAAACTTTCATTTTATTCATTAAAGAAATACTACGCAAGATACTCTGTAGCAGAGGTAGAAAATGAAATAAAGAAAAAACAAAACGAAAAAAAAGAGGAATGATCCTGTTGTTTGTACAAGATTGTTCTTGTAATGTCTACGTTGTTTGTACGACAATCTCCAGTTGTAAACGGAAAATCTTAAAGAAGTGTTAATAATCTTAATATATAAAAGCATATCTAACTGCCAACTGTGCAACACTAGTTTTATACACCTCAGTTTTATTTACAAGGGTACTCTTGTCGATAAATACACTTTGGAGAAAGAAGTAGCTCACAGTATGTCACAGATTCCTTGTATTATAAAAGGTAATCTTCAATTGTGTGCACTCTTTCTGGCACATGTCAATACAGATTAGTTCCGGTTTACATATTCTCAGAGCATGTAATAATGCTGATTTCTTACATATGAGTCAAATCGGCACTTTTTTAAATTGCCGAATGATAGTAATCGTAATTAGGCCAGTAAGGCTGTAGCCAGTCCTAGCTGGTGCGTTGACGCTTTTTGGCAGGGTGTTCCTCAGAGGAATGTGCAGGTGCAGGCATTACCATCTCACTACCTCTATTAAACATATATTTCAATTGGGGCATGTATTTCATTATACTTTTTACTTGTATCAGCGGTAGCTCCTCATTTAATGATGAACACTTCCCTGCATCCTTTAACATTTTCATTTGTAACCTACAAAATAAAATCCATAATATAAAAATCAATATTTCCTTATCTATTACGTATTACTAATTATTTTCTTACCCATTTCCTTGATACAAGTCTATGTGCAAGACGTCTGTGAGGACTTGCCGACAGCTATTAATATCGCAAGAAGGAAAATACTGAGCGACAAAGTCAGGGAGTGTCATCAGCAATTCAGAATATATATACGGCTTGAAATTAATACAAGGTACCATTTTGTCTTCAACGAGCGCTTTTTGAATTTGATAAGGTTGAACTTGACAGGTTGATATATGTGTCTCTGATATTGGGATCAACGGTTTTCTACCCCTTGAATCCCTAGAAATAAATACTTCAATATAATAATTAAAAATTATTTTGTCTATATATATATACATACATACAATAATATAACTTTTATTAAAAATTTAAATATAATATAACATAGTAATGTAATATAATAAAATTAATGATTTCATACCTGGAATTGTTGTTACTACCATTAACTGGTATTAATGGTGGTGGGTATTTTGCATGAGACGTGTTATGTACGGATGGTGTATGCCTTTGTGGATGTAACAGTGTAGATACCGAAGTAGGCGACGGCATCAGAGCCTGTACTTGTTCGCTTAAACCAAGCATTTGGGGGTATGTACTTGCTGTAACAGCATTTGGTATACCTAACGAAGGTGTAGTATATGTTGATGTGACCCTAAAATGGAAAAACTTCACGTTTCATCTTAAGAAACATAAATTTAAAAAATACATTTATGTTCAACTATAATTATATAATTTGCATGAACTACAGTACTTAATAAAATTGTAAAATGTTTATATAAGATACAATATTGTACAGAAAATCTACACATTGTTAAATAGTTTGAAAAACTTAAAAGTATAGTTTAAAAGAATATAAATAGAGAAATATATACATGAGATATTAATTATTAGATTCCCTACAAAATGTATATATTGATTCACTGTGTTTGTGCATAAATAGCAAGAATATTTTGTATCTCATACAAATTTTAATATTTCATCAGTTAATATTTTAAACAAAAAAATAATAATGATCTAAAGCTATTATATCGTTTAAAATAATGAACAGAGACAGAATTGAAAATTAATATAAATGATAATAATAATAAATGATAATAATAAAAAAGATATATTCATATTTTGTATATGATTATCAATATCTCATTTCATAGAATTTCTACAAAAAAGGATTGATAATAATCTACTTTGTAAGAAATAAAAATAAAAGTATACCCAAGAAAATATAAAGCAGATATACGTGTTTAGTAAATAAAAGAAATAAAAACATTAGAAACAGAATATAAGTACTGTTTGAAGAGGCACAGGCAATATATAGTTACTGCAGATTTATATAAGTAAAAAATTTGTTAATTATAATGTTCTTGTGCATGCTATCTTACTTTTGTGTAGTAATCATGACTATAGTACATTTTACAGGGACTCACCAGTCATCCTTCCCATAGGTTGGATAACTATACAAAAAAATCATACGTTGTATGTACAAATGCAAAAAGCTATAGTGCAGGTTTTCCATATAATAAATAATAATTTTTTTGCAGATAATATAATTATATACTCCAAATAAATAAGTGGTTCCCTAAAATTTGACACTGCATGCTCAATGTATTCTAATATACATCATATTAAGATCACTTTTCAAATAAAGTTATTTTAAATTTTTAATATGCATTGATAAACTATATACAATGTGAGTGATAAATACAATGAATTACACTAACATAACTACCAGATGAACAAGGTTGTATTGAATTAATATTTAATTTCATCTTGAGCTTGGATAATACATCAAGAAAAATAAATTATAATTAATCATTAAAAAGGAAATAATATACGTATATAATTTGTTATATATAAACAGATTTAAATAAAATATTTCATAGCGTGCTGTTTAACACTAAAAACTCACATCAAATATATAATTTACTGTTTTCTAGTCACTAAATTGAAAGCAAGCACAAAATATTGATAATGCCGTGAGGACAAGAAGAGGAAATGCTTAACATTAAAAATGAAAATATTGCCCTGAATATTCTAAAGCTTCATTTGAAAAAACGTAGATATATATTGAGAAACAAAAAGCTTTTAAAAAGATCCTTTATTGCTTACCCAAGATTAGGTTGACTGGAGTGAACCGTTGCTCTGACAAGAGGGGGTGGTTGGGCCTGAGCAACATTCTGCATAGTTGTAACTGGATAAACTCCAGGATACTGAGCTGCTGCACTACCTCCACCCCCTCTACTTCTACTGGATTGTTGCGAATAAGTTTTTGCTGGTGTAGATATTTGCTACAATAAGAAATCTCATACTATTACTGATGAAAAATTTGTTATGTACTATTATCTTATACTATTACTGATGAAAAATTTGTTTCAATATAATTTGTCAGTAATAATGTGACTGCAAAGAATATTTACACTTTTTTTATCAAGTTTTATATTTCACTTTTACAATATCAAATTATTGTAATCACATGAAAACTAGTATGTACATACAATGATATGCAAATATAAATATCTAGCCCTTGTGTAATAAATCAAATATAAGTTAAACTTAGAATTTAATCCACTAAAAACCAAATCAAGTTTATCATAATATGTACATCATACAATATTCCAATTTTAAATTGTAGTCTAGATCCTTGGAATCCTCTTCTTTCATAATAAGGTTAAAAAATAAAATTTCATAAGAGAAATGAATTCAAAAACTGACAAATAAAATGCTGCATCGACACAACATTGATTCTTAATGGATTAAACTTAGCTTTCTTTAGAAAAATATCTGTAAAAAAAAACAAAGAAATGTTTTTTAAAGAAAAATATAAATACATATTCCAAAACTTTTACAAAAATATATTGTTACGTGCAATTGATAATGTAAATATAATTCCTTCACAATTCCTTTACAATTGAACATTTTGCGTTGAATTACGTTACAAAAAGAAAAGCTTATTAACTTACATTGTGCATGTTTAGGGATGAGGGCATTCGTATAATGGAACTAGGTTGAGATACAAGCGCCGTTTGGAAGGTGGGTTGACCACCGACAAGCCCCGTCCAACCGTTAACACTTTGTACAGTGTTCAACATTGGTTGTGTGACAATATTCGACCTGCCTGAGGACAGTGCTGTCGGTGACGAGTGTGCAGGATGGGTGGTCGAAACGGGTCTTGGCTGGCTGACTCGTTGCTGCACTTGCGACGTATTCGCAACCGATCCACGTGGTAGCATATTATGCATAGGAGCAGCACGTGAATTGACATTCGCTTTACTTGCGTTATTTTGCACTGGAACTTGTTTGATTGCCGGCGGCGTCGGTGGCTGTTTGGTCCAACCGCCACCGCTGCCACCACCTTTGCTATTCACTAACAATTGAGAGTCCATCACTTTTGTTGGCCAGTAATCCTCGAACCCCGTACCAGGAGGGAAATAACTTTTAATATCATTCAAACTAATCACTGAACATGTCTCACTGGCGAACAGTTCGTTACGAATACCCTGTACTTTGCAACAAAATTTAAGGTACGACAAGTCCCAGCCCTCGAGCTTCTCCGCTTTCAACTTGAGATTCTCGGTCTCGCCCTCGAAGTAAAACAGAGGTACATATTGAAGGCCGTCCTTCACCGTGTAAGGTACCACAGACTCATTGTTTATCCGGATGAACCCACATTTGTCAGCCCTGTGCCCATTGGACACGTTCGGGTTCGTGCCGGCCGTTAATTTCGTGTAACACACGTCCAAAAACGTATAAAACTCCTTCGCGTCCGATAGACGAACCACTAAGTCTTTGCACGTGAATGGCTCACGTCCGAACTGATTCTCGCAGTGCTTCACGTTTATGTCGGTGAACAGCTTGCTCTCCGCCTCAGTTATGTAGTAACTCCTTATACACGTGCAACTGTAGATGTCCGAGTGCAGGTAACTCAGGTACTTATTCAGCAACTTAGACTCTAAAATTCGTACAGCGCAGTACTTCTCGCCGGAACGAAATATATAAGGTATGTGACAATCGTCGAAGCTGGTCCATCCGAATCGGCCTCTTTGGCTCTCGTCGTCCGGTGGTACTTTGCCTTCGGCCGAAGGAGGTTTCGCTGACACCGTGGTGGTTGACGAATCTGCTGGCCGTTTGTTCAAGTATCCCAGAATACCGGGAAGAGTTGACTGAGGAAGGAGACATTGCGGAGGCCTCTGTTGTGGCGGTGGTACCCCCGTGATCATTTTCGCCTTGTTTGCTTCCACCATTTTGGCAGCCAGTTCTCGGATCTCCGCCTCATCGGGAAGTTCTTGTTTGACAACGACTTTATCAAATGCTGGAAAAATAGACACTTTTAATATTTTGAATAACTGTGGAACTGAAAATATACCTTACACGTACAACTATTTTAAAAGAGTCGTGATCATCTGCACTTTTGTACGTATAATCATTGATCGCTTCAATTGTTTGTTATTTAATCTTTACATTAAACTTTACGTTAACTACTTGACTTAGTTTTGTTAAAAATAATCAATATTATATAATTCCAGTTAATTAAGTAAATAAACTAAATAGACTAAAACAGAAAAAAAATTTTTCTAAACCAAGACATCCGTTATTTCTTAATTGTTTTAAATGATTCTGTGTGAAAAGTGCAGACAACGACCGATGGAGCAGAGCGCGGGAAAGTACACTTATCGCGTGTCAATGCACAATTACAACATATAGCCGAACAATTAACTCTCATTATTTTGGAAACGATGACTCATTACAAATTGCATTCATCGTAAAGCAAGTTATTAAAATTCATTTGCATATAACGAAACTGTCTTTCGTATTAGATGAAATTAGACACTCTCAATTTACGTGATAGTATATACAGCATACAACACGTGTTATAGTATATACAGCGTACAAAATCTACGCGCACGAGCATGTAATTCGATTGAATTATTATTTCTGCGCTAAATCGTCGAATGTTCAATTAGAATTATAAATATGATAATTATCTACTCATGTTACATAAGAAAATTACGGCCTTCTAGAGACCATAATTTTCTTTCGTACGAAACACGATCACGGAAAAAACGTTTATATTTTCAATCAAGGCAAATTGCAAATACAAAAACAGAAAAAGAAGAACGCAATAACACATCAGATCATTATCAATAATTTGCGTGATTCATGCACGTGTACACAAAATTGATAAAATACAAAATTGCGAGACTCTCTAGAACACATCCGACTAGAATATATCTTCTAAGGGTCCGTAGAATTTCGAACCTATAGTTGCGCACACGCAGTTTTGCAAAACGTCAGGTACTTCAAAACACTGTACACGTGACATCTGTTAATTGATCGTTCGTTGTTCAATCGATTTAAATCCGCCGTCACTTGCGTCGACGTTCGATCGAAAATAATCGTGCATTGTCGTCAGCGAAAGACCAAGGGGCTCCTCCTTTTTGAAATCGGACGGAGAGAAAAAAAATACTCTCGCGCTCTTTTCGGCCGACATCGATTATCAGACGAAAACAATGGACTAATCGAGAGGTGTGCGCGCACGTGTGCATTAAAATACATGGAAAATTCGCCGCGCTGAATACTTGCGAAGACGCAATCGCATCCTTTGAACTTTCGTCCGATGGAGAATATTTGAAAACGTACTGAGTGACACTTGATCGGGCGCCGTCTGCAACGGGCTCCTTCTTTTCTCGAGCCATATGGCGTCCGTGCTGCTATCAGCGTTCACCGTATGCATGTCTGTGATATCGTTCCTCATCCTCGGCGAACAACAATGCTTCCCAGTCGAATCAGAATCACATATCGGTTGGACGGGTGGCAGAATCAGCAGAGAGGTTATGCGCGCTGCGTCTACCGATGTGCACTGTCGATGGGACGACACACGACCATGTTACACGACAAGATGTGTGATACACAGTTGCTCAGACTTGACTCTCGGACAGAGGAAAAAGTTCTATCCTCCTTCTCCACTGTACGTTTCGACTCTCTCGGCAGCTCCAAGTTTTCACGCTTTCCCTCGACGACGACGTTTTCACTTTGCCAGTTGCCAGTCGCGATTATTATTATAGATGGCGCGAAAGAGTTCTCGATTTGACTCTCGAGGGATACGTTTTGCGAAATAGACAAAACGTACGTAGATGAAACGGCGGTATCGTTCACACTGGCGATGTACGTGTCGTTCGTGACACGGGCGTACCTCTGGACCCCGGCGAAGCTTCGCCGTCAATTAAGGTGCTCTCGGCCAAGGATAGCGCCATTTTACACGGACTTCACTTCTGTGACTCTCCGATTTTCAGCCCGTCCAGCAAGCCATGCCGTAGAACATCGAGCTGTCTGCCTGCAGCTGCACAGAACACTACGCATTCCGTGGTCTAGCCGACCGTCAATCCTTATGGAGCAGAGCACGACACGACGCTTAGTTTTCCACGCTGACTGTACATGTTAGTATCGTACCTCCGCGAGACGAGTATCAAGCACCCGTTGTCTTCAACTTTCCATTTTTAGGAATCTGTCGCACCTCCTTAATTTCCATCAATAATTTCCCCCCGAATAACCTAATTTTACTTTGCCGCGATATTTTTAAATGACAACTTCTTGTAACATGTAAACATAAAAGCACTCGATACCGATGAATTTTATCGAACGAGTCAATACTTTTCAATTTGTTAATACGCCAGTAAGCTTTTATTTTATTCTCCCGTGTGAAATATAAAAGCGCGAAACACTGTAAATTTTTATCGAATATATGTCACTCAAAAGTTAAATGACGATAATCTTGAAAAGTAGTAAGTTTAAAAGCTAAGGTAATCCGTCATGATATTATTTATTTCACTGTGCAACCAATCAAGAATTTGTATTAAAATTATCTACTGTATACAAAGATTCTTGCTGTTTTAGATAAAAAGAGATCACTGGTCTGCCTGATAGCTACCGCCATCTAGCCGTCGCACGCAATATTATTAATTACATAAAATTTCATTTCCAGATATACGTGCTGCGCATGCGCCACCAATTTAAATAAATATAATATTAAATACAAATAATTTAAATATTATTTAACATTATCGTAACAGATTCTTAAAGTTCGCTTCATTATAACAATTATTTCGATACGAAAGAACGTTTATTAATCTACAGGAAGTAAATACTTTGTAAGATAGAAGGCAGGTTCTGTTTATACTAATTGCTATATTTTGATGTTCGATACACAAACCTATATAAGACCGTTGCTTGGCAGCAGTCTTTAGTCGAAGCCGATCAGTGACAAGTGAAGGATGTATTTAACTTTCTGCTGTAAAAACGATAAAGTTTCAAAGTCGGAAGAAATGATTTAAGTACGTTTTTTTCCTCTTTTTTTTTTTGTTGCTCTTTACGTAGATAGCATAATTTGTTGTTCTAAATAAATATATTCCTAAAAGTAACATGCACAAGATTATTTCAATTTTTAAATTCTGCAGCGAATTAAGTATTTAAATACCGAGGAAATTGAGAAACAAAATTAAAAAATTTTTATGCGCCATTTTAATACGCATGCTTTTCACATGTCGCGTTCATCACTCATACCTCAAACAAAGAAATCTTTATTATTCCTCCTTTATTATTAGGTTTCGTAAATGGCATTTTAATAATATTTTAGCAATAACATATATTATTGCGTATATTATTAACAATAAATAAGAATATAATAAAATTGGATTTCTTGATAAGAGTATTAGCCACATATATCCTCCATAACCTTAATGACGTTCAATCAAATTTTGTTTGTTTCATATACTATGTTTCACTTTCAAAATTGTTTACTGCCTACATAGCTGTCAGAAATCAAAACTGATCAATAGAGTTCCACTGCTTCTCATCTTCGGTGTGATGTGTCATCGTTTCTTCATTCAGAGAAGATTCATAAAATTATGAAATTTTATGCTAGATACGTCACTGAATCGTATAAATAGGTGAACCATATCCTCGATCGGATTTCGCATCGTGTGTCAGGGATCGGCTGCAGCAGCTAGGTACATACCGCTCAAAGAGTGGCCAGGGCCAGCGCGTAAGATCGCGCAGACGATGTGACAACGTTGCACGGTCGATATGCTCTTTCAGGCAAAGTGCCAAGATTGGTAAACGCACGCGGGGGTATATAGTCGCGGTTTCAGGTGCCCTTCCCTCCTCTAACGCCCGCGTTTCATCCCCACCTTCACTCCTGGAACTTACCCGTGGGATTCTGCGTGATAGTGGGGGTCGAATAATAGGGGTGGGGGAATTGAAGCTGCGCAGAACGTCGCCAGACATACGCCACTGTTTGTGCCTTTGCGCAGCTCTTACATACATATACCCAACCGTCTCCTATGTACTACATATGTATTATACTTATTATTTTAATCATGATTTACGGCTGCAACGTTGCCGGTTCTCGTTGCAGGCACGCCCACTCGGTCTCTCTTTTTTCACTTTTCAGTCGTACATATTAATACATAGATATACGCGGGGGGAGGGGGGGGGGGAGCAACGTCGCTTGATCGATACTTAAAGAAACATAATACAATAACAAAAAGATATGTGAAATTATATTTGTCAGCATCGTACAAACACGGTAAGCGTACATTTTTGCAAATAAAGATACATGTATCTTTGTCAAGGAACAAGGTAAAATGGCTCTCGTATATGCAAAATGAAAAACAAAAGGTATTTTCGAAAACTAGTAATTATATACATAGTAATTAGAAGTGTTTGTTTATTGCGTTTTTACTTCCATTACGTTATTTTAGTAAAAAGTTACGACAGACATTGATCTATATGACTATGCAACGTTGCCATTACAAAATGGCTGTCGCGGCCTTGATTGGCCCGATTTCTTCTATGGCATACGCTGGGCCAGTTGTTTGGCAACACCGAACGGTCGTAGCAGTCTATTTATAGTAGCTCTCTATTGCTGCTGTTGCTATGCCAAGTGGTGGCACAGTTTGCGGAGAGGGGAGACAGTAGGAATGGAGGGGGAAGAGATTACCAAAGAACAATATGGCGTTGAACCGGATGTGCCCTCTACGAATCTATCCATTCTCTTTGCCATAACTGCATTGTCTTTCTCTCTCCCTCTCCGACATTTCTCATCTTCCTTATATAATCCCCTTTTTCTTCCTAATACAACATATTTCTTTTTATGTTTTGTTCAATTACGAAATCAAAAGAGCAAACATTACGTAACAGGGTAAAATATCGTCTGCGCGGACACAATTGAACGCCTTAATCGCAATAAGACGAGACAAGGTCATCGCGTTTTATGTGTATTTTACGACAGGGAAAACGAGGATAACTCGAGGGAAAGAAAATAAAAGAACGTTCGATATATCTGCGACAATGGAGAAGGACGATCTAAACACGCTCTATCATTTTTTTTTTAAACATAATTTTTTGCGCAACTCGCTAGGATTGCATATGGCGGCGTGCACTTGTAGCAGCTGACAAGCGTCATGGTGTGCGTTTCCATGGCACACAAGCACGCATGCGACTTGCACGAAGCCGCCGCCTCGGGAATGCTCGGCAAACTTCGTGAAACTGCCTCTTTGTTACATCATTCTTTAGCTCTTATGTAGTACATAAGGGCGGGTACATTATATACTGTGTCTGCACATATTTCCCTCCCAGCTCTCGCTCTCGTATATACAGTGTATATAGTTGCCTTTGCATATATGTGCCGACGGAGCGAACGGACGGGCGGTCGAGGGAGTGAGCTCGGCTCCGCGTTACACGAAGCGCACAAATGTGAATCAACTAGAACGGACAAGTACATGTAAGATATATCTGTTTTATCATCAATAATTCTACGAGATGTAATAAAGGAAATTTTTAATTATCCGATTCCATGTTGAATTGTTATAACTCTATTGGAGAATACTTTCGCAACTTTTTAGTGACTTTAATTAACTTGTTATTTGTTTCCACTGCAAAATATAACGATGCTTTTAGCGGAAATGTTATTATTCCATTACTGAGTAAACGCGTATATTTATACTTTTTGTATACGTAAATTTTAAACTTTTATCAAAAAATATGTTTTACTGAAACATTAAAAATTATACTACTTGACGTACGAAAATTATAATGAAAAAACCAAATCCAAGAACAGTTTTGCACAATGATTTATCAACTATTTTGATTTTTAATAAATTGACAAATTACAAGTTATAGGTTATACACGTTTTCTATACACATTGTTTTGTTAAATACATATATGTTTTGTTAAATAGAACGGAACTGGCGATTTTTTAAATTTATTTATAAAACTTGTTATTATTGTACAAGGTCATTTGTTAATATTAATAACTTGTCATTTGCAAATCCTCACCAACGATATTAATTCAGATAATAAAATTTGTATATTCCATTTACAACAATCAATGAAAAGGCAGTTTTGAAAAAAATGTTTCTAGTTCAAAATTAATAATTGATATTTATAATTATTTTTTATCACATTTGTGACGCCAAAAAGCTTTTGAATCATATATTTCATATATAAAAATTGTCCTATTTTTTATCCAATATCTACAATTAATTAACTTCTATTGTTCTTCCATCTTTCTGTTTTAGTTATATCTTTCATCTACTAATAGTGGGATGATACATCGACAGTACTAGTAATATTTTGACAGATAACCTAACCTCAAATAATTAGAAAAATTACAATTATAGGGAAATAGTTATAAAACAAGATTGGCTGGATCAGTTAATAAAAAACTAATGATCGTTTTTATAATAAAGAACTATACTGAATTTTTTCGTTACACTGATATAAAAAACTATCATTATATACTATTTTTCTGTATAATCATATCGCATAATGTAACAATAATTTAACGCGATATACGGAATTGAAAAAATGAACGGATAAACATACAACCGTTACTACCTGAATATAATGAAATTTTTATGAACGAATATATCTATATATAATCTTTCATTAATATAAACAAGTTTTTAATAAAGGACGACACGCTTTAAGCTCCTCGTAATATTTTATCTTTATGGAAGTTACACGGTTCTCTGATTTAAGTATTCATTACACAGTTTCTTCCCAAAAAAATATCTATATTGCCAGGATCATCTTACCGTTTGCTTTAAATAAACCATGACGTCATCCTCTGCAAGCACATGCGGATAAAATGAAATGTGAATTAACATCCTTTTATTGATCATACATCGGAACGCATTGCAAATAAGTCTTGTTATTAACGATTTATCGTGCGTGTAAATATTATAGCTATAATCAATATATCATGTATATTTAACGGGATATAAAAACATTTTTGCAAACATCAGACATCGTGCACGTAAATATCATTAATCACGATACTTCTTTCGATATCACATAACCTAACAATCACAGTAAACATAAACAATCTTTACAAGTCCTTTGCGTTCATAATGCGTCGTTCAAATACAATAATCCAAACTCAATTAAGGTTACACTACTACTGGCAATAAAAACGAATTCACAACAAACATGTATCCACTTGCACGTAAGTAGTCTTTAGTATAGTACAGGGATTAATAAACGTTAAGACGTTTTACGTAGCTGCATGTGTGATTCTATATATGTACACATGCCTAAACAAAGTAATTATAGCACGCACAATGTAAATGATTGAAGAGTGATAAAAAAAAGTCAAAAAAGAGAAAAGAACCCGTTGTATGGAATGAAAAAAAAGAACGAGAGGTAGTACAAGATAAATGGAAATACACATCAGATTTTAAGAGAACAGTGCTGCGCAGTCAAATTCCACGTGTGGTTGTTGCAACGGTATATTGTCAACACGCGAGAGATGCGTTGACAGGTAGTCCCAACGAGAGGAACCACGTTTCGCCGGGTCTGCACGAGATGCAGATCATAGAAAGCACGATGTGTATACCTTCTAGGCACTGGGCACTGGGTACAACATAGCGAGAGAATAACGTGATTGGACGTGGTAGGAAATCGAGTGAGAACACAACCGGGAAAGATGAAAAAGGATAGTTAGGTGAGTATCTAAACGAGGGAGGAATACAGATAGATGGAAAGAGAAAAAGAGACAGAGAATATCGGGAGAGAGTGAGTGACAGAGAGAGGGTGGAGAGGGGGAGAGAGAGGAGGGAGGGAGAACGATACGCGCGAGTCTGCTATCGCCGCTACCGCGACCGCCGCCGCCACCCATAACCTCAAAACTTACCTCTGTTGATTCGGGCTTCGACGATTTGTACGTCTTCGTCGATGCTCCTGTCGTTCATCTTCTTCTTCTTCTCGTTAACCTGAATGTCCATGCACATAATTCCACAAAACGAAACAACACTTCCGCCACACGGTCACGCTACCCCTACGTTCCCGTGACATTTACATGGAACTGTGTGTGCGCGCGCGCGAAATATAGCATATCACACTTACGAATGGGGAAAGCGAAAGGGTCGTCGCACGAGGGCGCCGCGAAATGCGCCTCTTGCGTGTCGCGAGGTCTGTTCTGTGGTTGTTGTACTTGACAATGGGACGACAAGACACACTAGCGGAGAGAAGAGGAGATAGATATCCTAGGCGAATCGCATGGAACGATTTGGTCCGGTTGCCTTGTTATACGCGTACACGCAATTCTCTCGCGGCCCGCGTTTTCTGCTGTTTTGTGCGGAGGTGAACCGAGAGGCCGACCGGGTTCCGTCCAGATTTGAATGTGGTACACGTTGCCAGTTCTTTCTCGTACCCCCTTTCGTCCCCCTACCCACTTGTCCTTATGTACTTAACGGTTGCGACGTTGCCGCACATCCGGTACCAATGGACCAGTGGTGGGGGAAGAGAATTTTGCAAAGGAGTGGGGGATGTACATAAGTACCTGACAACGCCATAGTGGGGACTGTGGAATGGGGTGGGGGTGAGCAGGGGGTATGTACATAGAGAAGAGGAGAGGGTTGTTGCTCGGGAATGGGAATTTTCCATGACGCTTCGGGGCAACAGCGACCGTTAGCTAGGTCACGTGGCTTTACCGGAAGTCGTAAGGGCGACGCGCCACGATGCGCGCGCCCTCCTGTTCCGCTTTTAAATTTTTTTCCCTTAAAAACAGTTCTTCTCGCTCTCCTTTTTTTTTTTTTTTTTTCTTTCATAAGCCATGTTGATCAACATTATACATTGGAGATGAAGGACAACAATCAAAATAATTAAGTTTCAATTTTATAATTAATGCATCAATCAATTTCATAAATTTGGAAAGTGGAAAACTTATCGTTATTTTTGTAAATCCATGCAAGCAAATCGCTCGTCTCTTGAAAATTGAATGTCAAACAAAAAATATAGTTGATCAATTTGACTCATATTTATAAACAGATTTCAGAAGTATGTTTTCTTTCAAATGTCAAGAACGACTTGACTTAGTGTGACACCAAACGTATACATGCTTTCTTCACATTGAGAGTAATGAAAAATAAAATATAACAAAAATAGTGTAGTATATAATTCACGTTATTATATTTCACTGAAAGCCACGTGTAAACCAGACGGATTATAAATTAAAGCTTAATACACAAAAAATAGATATAAATAGTTTGCAATGCCCTTAAGCGAAGCTTTGCGATTTAATGAAAAAAGGAAAAAAAAAAAATGAAATGTCATATACGTATCTGTAGTTCATACTATTTATCACGCTATTTATATACACCGTTGTAGAAAATACATGCGCGAAGATCGATTTATCAACGAAAATTAATTAAATACGAAATGTTTCCCTTTCACTGCTTCTTTTTTTTTTTTTTTCGATCCGAATGGAAAACTAGTTACACACTCCGCGCAATATCTTTCCGCGTGTATTTTCAGAGAAGGTTTTCATAAATAAAAAAGACAATGACATATTGCAGCTTTTACGTGCTGTATAATATTAATGTTGCCGTAGAATGTCATTTGCATTGAAAAATGAAATACAAAATTATTTCTTTTTTTCTATAAATAAATATGAACACTCTAAATATATGCACATATATTATGACACAGGTGATACGGTATGCACAGGAAAAAGAAATTCACGAATGTTCTACCAGTGTAGATAACATTAATTATAGTTAAATGCAAAATCTAAATCACTGCATTGTACATTGCTCAATGGAGGTATCGGAGGTACGTTGTACAGACTCTTCGATATCTTTAGTAGCTAATAGCCCTTTGGTACTTTCGGCTTCTTTCATCCAGATTTGTACCTGTCGATTGGCATAATAATTTATTATAAAATGAAAAAAGAAATCGTGCATCAAATATACGTGTGTGTGTGTGTGTGTGTATGTACACGTACGCACACCCATACATTAATGAACGTAATAAAAGCACACAATAAATGTTGCGAGTAATCATAAAATTTAATTACGACGGTGCATCGAATTATTTGTCCCGCAATATTGAAATCGTTCGATCGTTAGTTACTGTAAAAAATAGCGTGGAATATTTAAATTTAAGAAACGTTTGAACAAGGTTCATGAGTTGCAGGAATTGTAACATTTATAATATTTATCATTTACTTTTTATTATCCATTGAGAAATCGGAGCTATTCGTAATTAATTACGATAATTTATCTTTGTAAGATACCAAATTAATGACGTCCAGTGATCGTCTGTTATTTAATAGAAGCAACATATGATTGGTTGAAAATTATTTATTATTTTAATCGAAATTAATGATGAATAGTGAGTAATAATTACGGCAGCCAGTCGTAAATTGGGTTGTAACGCAATATTTTTATAATTATAACAAATTGTAAATGAAAACAATTAAGAATGAAAAAAACTGAATCGAAGAAAGTTAAATAAAAATTATTTTTGTTTGATGAAATAAATAGCTGCTGCGCGAGCAAGTAATTATATTAGAGAAGAACACCTGCGTACATACTAATTAAAAATGACAAAATCGCGAGTTGTAATATTTTATTTTATTTAAACGTCGAATTTGTCGTAAATAGGTATGAGAATTTATTATTAAAGAATCTCAATTTGAATTTAGACTTCAGGATATCATCCGCGTTTCATATAAAATGAATTTTCTAGGTCGATCAATTTTTCTCGTTATTTTTATAATATATTCCAAACTCTGTAGAATACCATTGGGAATGATTGAAAATATATACTGAATTAATTGAAAAGTAGACGCAAAAACTTTCAGCAAAGGTAAAAAGATTGAAAATTTACTTTGTTACTTTAACGTCTGGTTAAATTGACTTCGAGTCGTCATATTTGTACGTACTGCATTAAAATGCATTATTGTACTACTCTTAATGTGGTCTCTGAATAAGTAATTACAGTAGCTGAATTTTCCTCTATTTCTTTGTCTCTGCATACATAGGTATATTTTATATTTGCATAAAACAGGCCATCAAATAAAATAAACGTTCTCACTTGTATACACAAATTGAAGAACGCGTGACAAGAATACTCTTATTTATAATAGGGTCTAGAATTATTATTACTGATATTACCAATATTGTTAATAATAGATTAGTTATTAAAAAATTGTAATTAATCGTTCATATTTACCTGTTTGTGTAATAAATCTCTTCGTCGGCCTGGAGGTTCTTTTCCCAAAAGGGGTACCAATATTCCTAGACAAGACTGAAATTTTTCTAAACCGAGGGCATAATTTCCCTCCGCGAGATACAGTTCGGCGACCTCTCCTATCTCAAGGCCATCCGCCATACTGATTGTGCTTTTGCTAAGCGTCCCTATCGATAACAAACACAATAATCGATAATAATTACGTAGATTTTCAAGCCACTTGATATTTTCATTAAAATAATTAAACACAACCGATCTATTTTCGACGTTTCGTGTGCTTTCTGCATTTTTGTATTCTTCCCCGTCAAATGTATGAATAATTAAACTACGAATATTTATGGATTTATGGAAAATTTATGAGTTTCTATAGCGTGAAAAAAATATGTAAAATACACGTCGTAATAAATTCGATAAAAATGGCCTACACATTTGCATAAATATCCATAGTCCATTGCCAGTTGCAATTAAAAAAAGGCTTAATAATTTCGAAGGACTAGCGTTTAGGAAAAAAATAATCATAAAATAATATCTCCTGGTAATGAGAACGATCGTTAAATTCGAAATCGTTATCAATTCACAGCTTGTACTTGGTGCAGTAGTTGAAAAAATTTTCTGCTGTCAAGAGATCCAGTTAAAACAGTCAATTTCATAATTTCAAAGCCGCATTGCCTTATCTGGAATTCCACGGGCACATTTTATTATATCCCTAACGACGAATAATGAATAAATTGTAAACTAATATGTCAGAAACTTTCTCGTTCCTAATTGGAATTACACATACATACGCATTGTATAAAATGGCCTGCAACTAGGTACGTCGTATAGATTCTTTTTTTTTTTTTTTTTTCAATTTTAATGAACTTCATTTCGTATACATAGCACATATTTACAAGAGAAATTTTAATTACAAATTTAATTTCAGATAAGTTCTTGCAACTTCCGTGTATTTCGCGAAACATTGAAATGCTATTTTATTGTTATTTCAAACGTTATACTTAACGAATCATAATTAATCACGTGTTACGATTCACATTGAACAAATCGTATAATTATAAGGAGTTTGATACAAACGTACGTAGCTCGTGATGTACGAATGACGGCTCGTTTAAAGATGATATCCTCTGGATAGAATTTCCTTTATGTTCCACAGGAACACACTTATCTTTATCGTCGCTAGTGTCTGCACACGACGCCTTCAGCGTTTCTGCTCTTTTGATATAATCATTTATTCGCGATCTTAAATTTTCTTTCCTCTTTAAATCAGTCTCACCTGACGAAACAACCAAATTATTATACAATATTGTATTTAGTATTAAAATATTAATACGACACAATATTAAACGCTGTATATATATGTATATATATAATAATTAAATTAAAATTAATATACAATTATAGCGAATAATGATAAAGTAATTATAATCGTTTATGTCGGTCTTTCTTACTTGTAACAATGGGAATAAAATATCTGAGAGCCTCGCAATACAAATGAAAAGCCTCTTTTGAATTTTTCTCCGCGTCCATTTTCACGGCCTTTTGAATCAATTCTACCGCCTTCTCGTAATTTTCCTTTGTTGGCGCGTAGGCCAAATCCAGGAAATCATGAGCGAAAAATTCATCGAACGTTATCCTCTCGCGAGGGTCGTGCCTCAGCAAGGACATCAATAAATCCTTGCACTCCGGCGACACATGCGATCCTTTCGGTAACTGTGAGTTCATTCGACATCGACAAATACAGCCATAAATACAATTTTCAAACAAAGGAAGAACATACAGTGCACAAGAGACAAAAGTATAGCAGCGTTCGTGCAATTGGTATGTAAAAATTAAAAACAGAAATACATTCCACGTTATTAAAACTGTTTGATTAAATTTGATATGTTTTAATTTAATCAAATTTATTATTAAACATGCTTGTTAATATCAAATGAAATTAGAATGTAGAAATATATTCCGTATTATTGAATGTTTTATAAATTATTGTTAATTAATAGAAACGAAAAGGGATACATACATGCGTTCCATATTATTGAATTGTATTCAAATATATGTGACTGTATATTATACACACACACATTTATAGTAATGGGTGTACACACACGAATGTTAATTAAATTATTTGGTAACTTATAATTGGAGACCAAATATATATAATAGTAACGTTTTGTTGAAACAAAAATATTCGTACGGTGTTATTGATCAATTTGATCGAGTTGTGACAATGAATGACATATTTTAAGGACAGTGTTATCTGAATAAAAAAAAACATATCGTTGTAAATTTCCCGATCACTGGAAATGTCAAATAAGTACTTATACACTTTCCTTTAGCTAACTCATTCTATGTGATATTGTACACAAGTTGTACCATGTATCTTTAAGTTAATTATATCGTATAATTTCGTACTTGAACAAAACGTAGCTAGCTAATTATATACAGTTCTGTAACTGCAATTGTACATATCTATTTATATGTAATTATATAACGTAACAATAAGTTACACACATGTAGTATCTTGTGTAGTAAACCGTGCACATCTCATGAAGTAGACTGTGGATTTTTATGCAAATTCTTTTAGCTTTCTGAATGGAATTAGTGAAATGGAACCTGAATAGAAATTTGTTTCACTCGTTAGAAATTTAGGAATACTTCATTCCAGAGGAATACTCTACTTTGGTTGTTTTATATATTTTCACATATATTTTTATATATCGTCCACGTAATTACGCTTATCACAGTTTCTATTTCAACAAATATTTATTGATGTTAATTTTTCAATTACCATTTTGATACTTTTGTATTTGCGTAAATGCGATAAAAACTTCGCAGTCTAGCTAATGAATAAAATATACGTATGCAAGTATTTACGTAGTTTAATAAAAAAGAGTTCCAAGATTTTATGAATAAAATATGGAATCGTCTAAACATAAAAATGTGAAAATCATTCGAAGTAAAATGTAACTCGTTGGATCCAAAGTTAGCATTATTCAGCTTTTATATGTTTCTTTGTTTTTAACTTTGTTTAAACTTTCAGAATAAGTTTCCAGATTCTCAAATTTTTAAATTATACGAACTTTTCTATATAATAGTGCACTATTCTATTACATTTTTCTATCTCGATACGAAACAACAAACTACTTTATTCGCGTTCTCCAATAACGAATTATTCTGCCGCTTCATCTTTAATAGCTAAAAAGATAGTTTTTTCTGTGCAACTATTTCTGCACTCTCGGTTGAGAAAGAACATTGTTGAAATAACATGCGATTGTTCTTTTAAAATATCGTCGTTGATTGCAACAGTTGTCTATCTGAAGTCTGTCCTTTATTGACAGAAAGTGTCTCTTGAAATAAAATTGATTGATTACTCGATCGAAGACTCTACGAGTTTATTTTATAGATATTGCAGTTTTCACAGATACTTCGCAAAAGTTAGAAACATTGTTGCTTTATCCATTCAGTTATATAATAAATTTTTTTTAAACAGTAGCTTATTTAGTTGCACATACACTGTAATAAGAGAAAAAGTTCATAAGACTTTTAAAACATCCAGAGATTAACATTCTTCTTAAATACATTTAAGAGATGATTTTCATACGACGTTGTACTTCGAACAAGATACACATTTACTTTAACTCGTCGCAGAGATATTTCTTCTCTGTAGCAGTCTGTATGAGTTAGATAAAGGTAATGATCTTTTATTAAGATATGCTGTTATTACAAAATGTCCTATTTAATCGTGGGAGAATTTGCGAAGATTCAACAAGAACTATCATGTGGTATTTGGAGATTTTTTTTTTTTTGAGACTTTCTTGCGCACAGAGTGTACCAAATAATTAAATCCTGTGGAAAACAGGCAGTTCTAACGCGGCTGTTCATTGAAAAAACCAAAATTGACAGAGCAAAATTGACAGAAATAAATTTCTAACATGCAAGAACGGCAAATAATGCGACAGAGAGATGGGATCGAGCCCGATATATCCCTGCTATCTGAGTCGAGTCCGATATTTAAATTCCTATTTTCTGTATTACACATATAGAAGAGGATAAAAATGTGTCAACGAGTACACTTGCGGCGCATTCGTTGCATAAGCTGGCCTTGAACTCTAGATGCTGTTAGACCCATCTATTTATCCCTATACAATTTCTTGTTTCTTGTTTTTCCCGCGATTTCGTCGACAAGAAATCAATGTCACGCTGCAAAAAAAAAAAAAAAAAAAAAAATCGTCCACCTG